ATAAAAAATTTATAAAGATACGGGAAGACACTATAAAAAAGGCCTCATATAAAATGAGTCTTTATATACATGAAGGCAATGCACATCCCCTTTAAATGTAAGGGGTTGGGAAATTTTTAAAAGTTGATTTTAGTGAAGTGATTTTAGCCTTGAGTGAAGGCCTAGAGCAAGATACAGACCCATTTAGGGGTCCATCTACCTGATTGGAACTTGAAAAGGAGCCATGTGAGACCATTACGTCTCTTAATTAAACTGGCTATTTGGTACCTTCCAGGGACATGGAAGTTTTATTGAATACTTTTTCCAAGAGATTAGCACCATGTATTTTATAGAGAAGTAAAATGTGTATCTTGGTTATTATCACTTATATCTATAACTCTGATAGTATGGAGTACATTATATTCTGTATTATGGCCTCAGTAAATATTATATGGAGATGTGTGGTTGTGATTTATATTTTGGGTATCTGTGAGGCTAGACACTCCAAGTTTTGTTAGCTTTTTCTCCCTTAAAGGGACAGTTTTAGGCAATGACTCAACAGTTCATAATAAATGTGAAATGGGGCTACTTGTGGGCCAGCAGTTTGGCTGAGTGTGTTGTTTCTTGGGTTCTGTCATTCATTAGGGACATCCTGGCTAAGAGATGGAAAGCAGCAACATTCCATTGAGCTCCATCATGTATGATGGTTGCCAGTGCCATTTGCATAGTCTATAAACATCCACTGCTGTTCATTCAGTTAGTACCTAGTGGATTCTGAGCAGCCAATTGGACTGGGGGAGGGGTGATATTCTCCAGCACCATGGCATTTAGCAAGGGATTGATGACAGCGGACACCACCTCCTTCTGCAGGTGGAATACACCAGAGAGCTCAGGTTTGGCTCCATGCTCTATGAGGCCTTACTAAGAGGCCTTAGTAGCTATGCCATGTTTCTGGTGTATTATTTCCATGACCAATGTTTAACAAGCGGTTGGTATGGAAAATCACAGGCTCAGAGCTTCTAATTTCCAGAGAGCTCAGCATGTACTTCATTTGTTGTTTTTCTAAAGAAGCATAGTATGGAGCTAAGAGGGGCAGTTTCTTGCCTCAGAAACCCTTGGGTAACATATCTATCCTAAGTGGTCTAGCGATTCTGAGAGGTATGACAAGAGGTTACCAAAATTTCCCTGGTGAAAGAGTCCTTCAGGGCGCCAACAGGAGTACCTGTTGATTTTAATTTGGAAGTATTAAAATTTGTAAAGAAAATATTTTTTGCCATTAGAACCCCGAAAGTATTAAAGATGTTAGACCTGTATCCCTTAAATGTACATCAAATGAATATCCTTGGAGGAGGATGCAATTAATGTAAACCCACACCTCTGCTCCTGGAAGAAGGTGGATGCTGTTGAGATCCTGTCTGCCAAGACTGTGTGACGGCAAAGCTGCTGAGGATGGACAGTCTGGAAAAGGTTTATTGTGTCTGTTTGAAGTGAAGGCAAAAGAGCAGTTAGAGGATGGTGAAATAGGCATTGAACAGAACATGTTAGCCACATTTCCAGGGGCAAGATATTTACCAGTTGTTGACTGAAGAGAATCAGGAATTTCAATAATATTGGATATTCAAAACTACAATGAAGTACCACCTCACACTGTTCAGAATGACCATCATTAAAAAGTCTTCAAATAAGTGCTGGAGAGGTTGTGGAGAAAAGGGAACCCTCCTACACTGCTGGTAGGAATGTAAACTGGTGCAGTCATTATGGAAAACAGTATGGAGTTTCCTCAACAAACTAAAAAAGGCAACTCTATTGCCATATGCAATTCCACTCCTGGGCATATACCCAGACAAAACTATATTTCGAAAGGATACATGTACCTCTATGTTCATAGCAGCACTATTTACAATAGTAAAGACACGGAAACAGCCTAAAAGTCTATCAACAAATGAATGGATAAAGATTTGCCATACACACACACACACACAATGGAATATTACTCAACTATTCAAAAGAATGAGATGGCATTTGCAGCAATATGGATAGACCTAGAGATTATCACAGTAAGCAAAGTCAGAAAGAGATAGGAAATATCATATGACATCACTCATATGTGGAATCTAAAATAAGCTTCCCAGGTAGTGCAGTGGTAAAGAAGCCACCTGCCAATGCAGGAGATGTAAGAGATGCAGGTTTGATCCCTGGGTTGGGAAGAGCCCCTGGAGAAAGAAATGGCAACCAACTCAAGTATTCTTGCCTGGAAGATTTCAAGGACAGAGGAGCCTGGCGGGCTGTAGTCCAAGGGGTTGCAAGGAGTCAGACACAACTGAGCAAAGGAGGGGACAAAATAGAACCAGACTTACAGGCACAGAGTACAGACAAGTGGTTGCCAAAGGGGAGAGGAGAAGTTTGGGAGTAGCAGACACAAACTCTTATATACAGGATTGGTAAAATATAGGTCCTACTGTAGTGTGCCCCTAGGGAACTATACTCAATATCCTGTGATAAACCATAATGGAAAAGAATATGAAAAAGAATATTTATATGGATATAACTGAATCACTTTGCTGTTACAGCAGGAATTAAGACAACGTCGTAAGTCAACCATACTTCAATAAAATTTAAAAGAAATAATACTGGATATTGAGTATGGGGCCCTCAATGGGTGGGATACTGTTAATGCTGTAGTAATCCAACATAAGTTACCATCTTAATATTTTTGTTATACAAACTTTAGTATATTCATTTAGTATATAAATTTTGGATTTTCAACTGGATTAAAAGCTTTAATATTATATTTATGCATATATTATTAAATTACCTTTTATCTGTTTTTGCTTTTAAATCAGTAAATAATCTAGAGTTAGCATTGTTTGCTAAACTGGCACTTGCTTAGTACCTAAGATTTAAAGTTCCTTCTTTTTTCTCCCCTGGGCTGTAGCCACCTAAAGTGGCAGTCAGTTTTTCTGTTCTCTTCCTGTTTTAGATTTTTGTACCCTGAAGGTACAGTCTTTACTTTTTCTGGCTGTTAAGAGGAAAAGAGGGAGGCTGAAGGGGTCAGGTGCTTCTAGTTAACCTATCCCTGGGATTGCCCCTGTCCAAGGACTAATCAGTCCCTTTCTCACGCTGCCACCTGTTTCTAAAAACTTACAGAAAGACTTCTCTCTCTGACTAAAACTTTTCCATTTTTTTCTTTTCGGTGTTTACCTGATAAGCTCCTGTTGGTCGCTAGTAGCCTCCCTGTGATCAGTGCCCCTTCTCTAGGGTGTCCTAATCAACTTTAGGGGGCTAGTGTCTGTATCTAGAAAAGCAACGGTGGCATCAGCTTATCTTTTACATTGGCGTATGAGACTCCTTGCATATTGCTAAGTAGCAGCTCATAGGAGAGCCCATGTACATGGATCAAGTGCTTTGCATTTTTAACATTAACTGGATCAACTCCTCAGGGTTTTTTGCGGGGGCATGCTGGAACCCGTGCTCCTTTACCTTTCTCCTCCTTTTCATTAAACATTGAGACACAGGTCTCTGGGCAAGGGACCTCTTACACCCTACTAGGTTGGGGAATGAGTTGCTCGTGACAGCAGCAAGCAGGCATGGCAGAGAAGATTGTGACCTGAACAATAGTGTTTGTAGGAAGCCATGATCTCCTGAGAAGGCCCTCACACCAAATTCACAAATGGCCCACAACACCTAAGCAAGCGTTCAGGTGGAGTCATCTCTTACTACTTTGAGGAACAGGCTGAAATTTGACTCAGAAAAGCTCAGACGGCGGAAAGGGAAATGGTTTATGGACACCTACAGGAACATGTAAAGTCACGGACACTGGGTACTAGTATGGCCTCAATGATTGCCAGCACTGCCTGGTCAGTGGATTAGACTTGTCCACGGCACTAGGAGGGCTGACATTCCTCATCCTCAGCAGATGGATCTTTTAAAAATGTAGCCAGTTATCTATACAGTATTTGTAGTTTGTAGAAAGACTTCTTCTTAAAATTAAAAAAAAAAATTCCAATTTCAACAGCATTCTCAAAGGCTGTAAGAATCCCCACTAAGAGGAGAAAAAGTGAGAGTAAAATGGTCAGGGCTTTAAAAGGATGCAACTATAAAGTAAATGTAAGGAAAACATTTGGCCAGAAAGGTCTGATATGAGTCCTAACAGTTACACATTGAAAAACTCAACTATATAGTTGGTCAAGCTCACAAAAACCTCATTAACTAGTCTCCTATTGATAAGAATCAGAAAGAAAGGGAATATAAGACTAGGTTCATGATAATCACTTGTGGGTTATGACACACTAGCAGAAAATAAAATAGAAATTTTCTGACATTTGACAATATTAATCGGCTATACCCCAACAAAAAAAGAGAAATTTTATGACATTTCATGTTTAAACCCAATTACCTGACAGGATATTTTCTGCTTTGATGAATGCAGTAGGACTTGGTCACACAGTAACCAGATTCATAGAAAAGTAGTGCAAGCTGCCATCTGATGCATTAAAATAAAGGAAATGTGGGATTTTTCCTAAGTTAAAAACCTCCTATAATGCATTTTTTCAATTGTGGAAGGCAATGAATTAAACAATATTTAACATAAAGCTAGAAAATGGTTAAATAAATGAAACCAGTGCAAAAACAACATATTAATAAAAATAAACTAATTTTGATTCTAACTTTTCAACTATAATTTTTGATATAATCCTCAGTAAAATCACCCTTTTAGGTGAAAATGAACAAAGTGACTGTACAACCAGCAGGAGAAAGTCAGTGCTGATAACCTCTGCTTGCTTATCCTCTAAGACTGCATCTTATCATTTAGACAATCTGCTCAGGTCCCACAAAGAGGATACCACAACCTGTCTCCTTGTACTATAGTGGCTACAGCAAGCCATAGCAACTGGGGTTAAGGAAAAATGTTCTCATTAAATAAACTATACTGAACTTTGTTTTAGGACTTCATGCAAATATTAACCTTATTTTAAGACAAAAGGGAAAACAATCACTCAAATTCACGGCTCATTTAGCTGTCACTGGACAAAATAGGTCCATCCAGTCAAGGCTATGGTTTTTCCAGTAGTCATGTTTGGATGTGAGAGTTGGACTGTAAAGAATGCTGAGCGCCAAAGAATTGATGCTTTTGAACTGTGGTGTTGGAGAAGACTCTTGAGAGTCCCTTGGACTGCAAGGAGATGAAACCAGTCCATCCTAAAGGAAATCAATCCTGAATATTCATTGGAAGGATTGATGCTGAAGCTGAAACTCCAATACTGTGGCCAGCTCATGTGAAGAGCCGACTCATTGGAAAAGACCCTGATGCTGGGAAAGATTGAAGGCAAGAGGAGAAGGGGACGACAGAGGATGAGACGGTTGGATGGCATCACTGACTCAATGGACATGAGTTTGAGTAAACTCCAGGAGTTGGTGATGGACAGGGAGCCCTGGCGTGCTGCAGTCCATGGGGTTGCAAAGAGTCGGACACGACTGACCGACTGAACAGAAATGAACTGGAAAACTGAAAAGATAAAATAGTCCAGTTTTAAAAGTTTCGATAGAGACAAAAAGGGTACTAAGAACAATATTCATCCTTCCTCATCACTGCTGCTCCAGGCATCTTCAAATGCTGGATTTAATTGTGATCTGGTTGAAGTCTAAAAAAGGAAGCAAAAAAGAAAGATTCAATTATTCTACCTCATAATTTTAGGCTCACAATATAGTTATGAAATCAGATAAAAGCAACTAGATTATTTTGAAAGAAACTATATAACTGTTCGTTTAAAACCAAAAATAACTTAAGAAACACCCACATTCAATATAAAACAATGCAATTTCATTTTAAATAGACATATCAGACTTTACTCAAATTCTCTGTTTCCTTCAAAGTAGTTACCTCACACACATACACACACACACAGGGTGCTGTTACTATTATTAAGGCATTTTTTAAAATAACCCTTTGGAGTTACCAGGAGTACAGGGCACACTCATATCCATGTGGCTAAGACTGGATTCAGGTCTGTAGGCTGGCTTGACAGCCCAAAATATTAAAGTGAGCAATTTTTACTGTTTTGATGGGTCTGATTTTTATAAATAAGCAAAATTCATATACAGGGAATAAGGTGTTCAACAAATGGAGCAATGCCCTTTCTCGTATGAAGTAGTAAGGTTTGTTTGTTTGTTATTATTAATAGCTAATAAAGTAGTGGAAAAAGACAGACAAAATGTGTTAGATTTGGTAACATTTTGTCATTAGCACACAAGTTTCCCTGGGAGAATTCTTTGAAAGAGAATATGCATTAGATGGTGTTTCAAAAACAACAAAACATTACAGTATTCTTGCAACTTTAGAGCTGTACCTAAATAAATGTAATCAGCAATAGAGGAATTTTAATATTTGTAGTAGTTCAAATCAATTTACTTATTTGGGGAATTTGTTAGAATGGCTACCTTCTTATTCTTAGGCAAATGATTAAGGGACTTTGAAATGATCTCTTTTGTTGTTGTTTTTGAGTACCTAGGTTTTATGAATCATGTGTGCTTCCTATTTTGCAGTTTTTACATTTGCTTTCAGTTTGTTCATATCCCAAACCCAATAACATATTAGTACTTATTCTTAAATTATTTAGAAGTATTACTTTTACAACATATACCAATATTTTATGTTAAGGGTAACCCTTACTACATATTTGAGAATGTTCATTTCCTTTTTGATGAACATGATGACTTAGACTCTTAAGATTCAAACAATGATAACAGTAGAAAAAAGTGGCTGTTTCCAGTAAATTTCCCAAGTATCAGCCAGGATAGTCAGAAAACAATATAATAATTTAGGTATTCTTTATAGCTGTGAACACTATGGATCTGAGTCCTTTACTTAATCTAATAATGTTGGCCATTGTCACTTAGTTGTTCAAGCAAAATTCCATTATATCCTCTGTCCAGATATAAAACTATTATCAAAGCTTTGCTAACTATTCACTTATTTCTAGTAGCAGTCCACTGATATGCAAGAGTGGCATACTGAAGTCTGTTTATTCTTTCAACCAAGCATTTACTGAAATTCCTACCTTTCTGGGTTTATGATTTAACTACCAAGTTAGGTTATTTAGTGACAGTTTATTTAAAGACGAATTGTCCTCTGTGGTGAGGTGATTATTTTTCCCTACTCTATCTCTAAAAGGCTTTCACTCGGCCTTAGATGTCTACCTAAAATGTCCTTAGGTAGATAAGTCACACAAAGGCCATGTCTCCTAATTTCACTCTGAAAGCCCAATATATAACCTATTAAGCACTAAATTTCATTTGAAGAATCAACAGAGAAGCAGAATTATATTTTAATGTAAATTATTGTTGCTATGGTAGGCAAACAAAAATAAGTGAAAACTAGAAATGCAGTTGCATATAAATTTTACTGTATGGTAGTAAAGAAAAAATATGAATGTATTACAGTATTGTTAGAAGTACATTTTATTGCTAAAAGTCATAAATAAAACATCTTACTTATAATTGAAAGCTGCAGTAAAAACGTCACACATGATATAGTACTGTTTGAGACCTATGGATCAACTTAACTACCATCCATTACTTCAGTTTTCTCTACAACATCTCCTCCTAGTGGACATTCTGTCTCTGCTTGAACATATCCATCTCTACTTAACCAGCCTGCCTGTTCTACTGAGTTGTGAAGGGAAGTAAGAGTTAAAAGGGGATCTAGTTCAGGTCCATAGAATGCGAAGGAAGAATGAAAACAATTTTAACATGTTCTACACATGTATCTTACTAAATTTGATAAATTCAAGATTTTTTACTGGTAATTAGTGGAAAGTCTTTATAGGTAGAACATAGGGTTGTCTGAATACAGAAAGTAATTACACATCTTATTTTTGTTGTTTAGTCTGACTCTCTTGCAACCCCATGGACGGTAGCCCGCCACGCTCCTCTGTCCATGGGGTTTCCTAGACGAGGATACTGAAGTGAGTTGCCATTTCCTTCTCCAGGGGATCTTCCCAACCCAAGAATCTAACTGGCGTCTCCTGCACGGCAGGCAGATTCTTTACCACAGAGCTACCAGGAAAGACCCCAAGATTATACATCTAAATAAAACAGCTATATATTGTGTAACTGTCAAAATAAAAGTAAGATTCTTGACGAGAAGTCAGATTTAGAATGTAATATAGTCACTCTAGAGATCTCAGGCAGGAAAAAGTGATTAGGAATTGTACAGGCATGCCTTGAGTGTGACCAGATTTTAGGAAGAGTGGGCAAAAGGAATCCAGATCCCTCAGAAAAATAAAACAAACTTCCTCCGCAAAAAAAAAAAGCAACCTGTCAATTAAATAATAGGATTTATGCTTAAAGATCATAAAATCTGTTTCTATTGCCGAATGCCCTTCAGGTTTTTATGGTAGAAATAAATCCTCCTCTATAGGTTGAGTATCAGAAGAAACAATCCTAAGGGATCCTGTCTTGGTTGATGGAGAAGTATATCTCATCTCAAAAGTCCATCTGAAAGGTAACCTAGGAACAATTTTACTTTGATGATTCTGATGTTTGAAGATATTATAAACTTGCCCTAGATCATTAACAAATGGCAGAACTGGAATTCAAACTCAATTACCAGTATTACTATTATTGAGTTTACCTGACACTAAAGACAGGTGAGTGCGTAAATGTACATGTGTGTGTGTTTTGTGTTAACTTGCCTCTCTGAGGAACTGCAGCAGTCATTCATTTGAGAGGTAAGATGAAACTACTTCTAAATATCAGTTAAATAGTAAGTATACATGTAAGGAAGAGGGTCTTGTGTACACAGACTACTCTACTGAGATCTGCATCATGATCATATTCATGTTCTACCTACATTCACAGGACTCCTCAAAAGTTTTGTGGAAATAATCTTAGCATTTATCATTTTATAAAGAGAATGGTGCCTATCTTAAAGCACATACATAGTGCATTTTAACAGGTAAATATAAAACCTTGTTTTTTGTGTATCCCTATTTGATTTATACTTGTTCAGCTTAACTGCCTACATACAAAAATTCTTCCAGATGGGAAAGAATCAAACTATCACCATAATTATATAATAAGGAAATAAACCATCAGAGTCACATACTATCTTTATAAAATAAACAATTTCAGTTTTCTTCTAATATCATTTTTTATACACAGGTCAAAGATGATTTACTTTTATTTTTATAGTTTTCATTTGGTGAATGACTGTTAAACATTCTAATGTGGCCTAGTGTTATAAGTTAGATTTAATGTATACAATAATTCCCCAACAGCAGGACACAGTAATTAACATTTTAAGCTTTGTATAAAAAAAAAATTCAGTTTTTAAAGCAGCTGTATACTAAAACAACTCAAGGTCATACTAAACCAAATTAGACACATATCTATAAAATTTCACCTTTAGATAGCTTGACATGAAAATAGAAAAATTAAGAGGGTACTACCTAAGACCAGAGATCATGTCTTATTTATCTTTGTTTTTCCACAACATTTTTCAGGTTCTTTATTCACAGTGTCATATTTATACTAATTTATCTGGTAGAAGTGCAAACTGATAAAATTTGACAGTGTGAATAAAGAGCCTTAAAAATGTCATACAAGATAACTCAAGTCCCAAGAAGTCGTGGCACTTCCCTGGGGATCCACTGGTTAAGACTCCATGCTTCCACTGTAGGAAGTATGGGTTTGATCCCTGGTTGGGGAACTAAGATCCTACATGCCACAAAGCGTGGCCAAAAATATTAAACAATAACAACAAAAAACTTGAAAGAAAACAAGATAAATCTACTTCTAGGAATATAAGCAAAGAAGGAGTCAGAAATATAAATAATTTGTGAATAGCTATAAATTGGTTTGTTTATAATGATCGAAAGAAATGTCTTCAGAAAAGGTAAATATTTAAGTAAATTTAAGTAAGAGTGACAGAAAGCTATATTATTAAAGACAATGTTTACGAATAGTTATTAATGACATGGAAAAAGTCTAAGAAGGATGCTAAGTTGTATGTTCAAGCGTGATATTAACTATGTTAAAAATATGCACAGGAAAAAACAAGAATGAAGTAAATAAAAATGTTAAAAGTAATTGATAAACTTCAGAAATTTATTTCATTCTCAATTTTTTTTTAATTTTCCTAATGTATTATACAGGTAAATTATTTAAACAATCAGAAAATAGCAAGAAATGCTTTAAAAGCCTCTCCCATTTAAAGTAAATTAGTAAAAACTTTTTTATTATTTAGAAGTCACTGTACAACTTGCATAAATAATATTTACCTCATCATCATCATCAGGAACTGATTCACATAAGGATGGTACCCAAGCAAGAATATTGCAGTCTCTGCTACCACTGTAAAGTTCCTATAATACAGAAAACAAAGATGTGGTTGTGGGTCAGTTGAAAGCTGATGCCAATGTGAAATGAACAATTTTTTAAATGACTACTTCTTAGGTTAGATTAGATGAAATCTATTTCTATTCCCCAAAGAAACTGGATTGATGCCCTTTTCTGTTTGTTTAAGAAATAGTAAAACTTTGTTTTGTATTTTAAAATAGTATTAGGATATGTTAGAATTTGCTTACATGATTAAAATTCACAAAAACCATTGCCATAGTTTTTTTTTTTAATCAATTGTGTCTATATATTTCAAGTGTCAGAGAATAAAGAAATGGTTGCATCAACAACTGAACTTCAATAAAGGCTTTCAATGAAGAAACCATATGTTGTTGTTCAGTTGCTAAGTTGTGCTTGACTCTCTGTGACCTCATGGACGGTAGCACACCAGGGTCCTCTGTCATCCACTATCTCAGAATTTGCTCAAATTCACGTCCATTGAGTTGGTGATGCTATCTAACCACGGCATCCTCTACTGTCCTCTTCTTTAGCTTTCAATCTTTCCCAGCCTCAGGATCTTTTCCAGTTACTTGGCTCTTTGCATCACGAGGCCAAAGTATTGGAACTTTAGCATCAGTCCTTCCAGTGAATAATCAGGGTAGGAAATCAACTGGTTTGATTGGTTTGACCAATCAAATAGACTGGTTTGACCTCCTTGCAGTTCAAGGGACTCTCAAGAGTCTTCTTCAGCACCACAATTTGAAGGCATCAATTTTTCAGTGCTCAGCATTTTTTATGGTCCAACTCTCACGTCCATACATGACTAATGGAAAAGCCATAGCTTTGACTATAAGGACCTTTGTGGGCAAAATGTCTTTCCCTTTTAATATGCTGTCTAGATTTGTCATAGCTTTTCTTCCAAGGAGCAAGCATCTTTTAATTTCAGGGCTTTAATTTTAATTTGTCACTACCTGCAGTGATTTTAAGAGTCCAAGAAAAGAAAATCTGATACTGCTTCCACTTTTCCCCCTTCTACTTGTCATGAAGTGATGGAAGTGGATGCCATAATCTTAGTTTTTTTGAATGCTGAATTTCAGGCCAGCCTTATTCACTCTCCTCTTTCACTTTCATCAAGAGGCTCTTTAGTTCTTCACTTTTTGCCACTAGAGTGGTATCATCTGCATATCTGAGGTTGTTGATATTTCTCCCAGCAATCGTGATTCCAGCTTGGGATTCATCCAGCCTGGCATTTCACATGATGTACTCTGCATAATGGGCTTCTCTGGTGGCTCAGAGGGTAAAGCATCTGCCCACAATGTGGGAGACCTGGATTTGATCCCTGGGTCGGGAAGATCTCCGGGAGAAGGAAATGGTAACCCACTCCAGTACTCTTGCCTGGAAAATCCCATGGATGGAGAAGCCTTGGAGGCTATAGTCTATGGGGTTGCAAAGAGTTAGACACGACTGAGCGACTTCACTTCTACTCTGCATATAAGTTAGATAAACAAGGTGATAATATACAGCTTGGTCATACTCTTTTCCCAATTTGGGATGAGTCAGTTGTTCCATGTCTGGTTCTAACTGTAGTTTCTTTAGCTGCATACTAGTTTCTCAGGAGATAGGTAAGATGGTTTGGTACTCTCATCTCTGTAAGAATTCTCCACATTTTGTTGTGATCCACACAGTCAAAGGCTTTAGCATAGTCAATGAAGCTGAAGTAGATGTATTTTTGGAACTCCCTTGCTTTCTCCATGATCCAGTGAATGTTGGCAATTTGATTCCTGTTCCTCTGTCTTTTCTAAACCCAGCTTATACATCTGGAAGTTCTTGATTCACGTACTGCTGGAGACATTAGCTTGAAGAATTTTGACCATAATTTTGCTAGTAAGTGAAATGAATGCTTTGAACATTGTTTGTCATTGCCCTTCTTCAGGATTGGAATGAAAACTGAACTTTTCCAGATCTGTGCTCACTGCTGAGTTTTCCAAATTTGCTTACATATTGAGTGCAGCACTTTAACAGCACCATCTTTTAGGATTTTAAATAGCTCAGCTTAATTCCATGACTTCCGCTAACTTTGTTGGTAGTAATGCTTCCCAAGGCCCACTGGACTTCTCACTCCAAAATGTCCAACTCTAGGTGAGTGACCACACAACTGTGGTTATCCAGGTCATTAAGACATTTTTTGTATAATTCTTCTGTGTATTCTTGCCACCTCTTCTTAATCTGTTCTGCTTCTGTTAGGTCCTTACCATTTCTGTCCTTTACCATGCCCATCCTTGCATGAAATATTCCCTTGATATCTCCAATTTTCTTGAAAAGATCTCTAGTCTTACACATTATATTGTTTTCCTCTATTTTTTTCCCACTGTTCATTTAGGAAAGCTTTCCCATCTCTCTCTGCTATTCTGTAGAACTCTGCATTCTGTTGGATGTATTTTTTCATTTTTCCCTTGCCTTTTGCTTTTCTTCTTTCCTCAGCTATTTGTAAAGCCTCCTCGGGTAACTACTTTGCAGAAACCGTAAGAGTTTCTAGCTAAAATAGGCCAGGAATTAAAAAAAAGTTTTATTTAGCTCAAAACTGCCCAACTAGCTGCTGAAGAGCATTAAGAGTCATATGCCATGCTTGTTGAGAAGCTTATTTTATGAGCTTGGACTGATGCAGTCAATGACAGCGTCCTTTTGGATATGGTGTCTGTACATGCTGAACAATGTTCATTCTTCTTCTGAGAAAACTTCAGAAGTATGTTATATTGGCTAGTACTAAAAATATTTCTATGGGGCAGTGAAATAGATACTCTCACATACAGAGGGTATAAATTGATATAATCCTTTCAGGGACTGAAATCTCTGTATGTAACACAAGTTTCTGCATACATTTCTAAGAAGTCATGCTAAAGACACATATGAAATTCAAGGTTATCATCACCAATATTATATTTATAATAAAACAATAATTTCCCAAATATTATTGTCCAGGGTTATGATTTATATATAAATTAATGCTGCATTAATATGATATGATATTATATAGCCATTAAATTTATTTTTGAAGAATATTTAATGGCACTGGAAAACATTCATGTTGTCAAGAGAAAGGAGCAGGATATAAACCAAATACAGATTGAAAAAAAAAAACAGGATGCAAAACAGTAGGTCAATTTTTTAAAAAGCTACTAAGTAAAGAATAAGGGCTAAAAAGAAAAATTAGCAAAATGTTAAGTTAAAACTCTGACTGACTGTTTACTTTTCTCACAAATGTATTTCTGCACAAATATTTCTACCACTACAACTTTCTTTCTGATCTGGTATTAAATTATTTAGTTTTATTTTTTTCATCTCAAAAGCTATTTGAGGCATGGTATAATCAGCATTTTTCTAAAAAAATAAAAGTAAAGGTTCTTGGTAAAGGGAAAATAAGATTATTAAGTAACTTATAGGAAATATAGATGTAAAGAAAATTAGGTAAATTATACTTAGCTACACATTATCAAATTTCCTAAATGGAACAAAATTCTACAGACTGTACTATTTAAAATTTAGAATGCATGGTTACTGTGGATGGTGCAAAGATATTTTCATATGCCCAGTACTGTAGAGCAATTTAGTTCCTGAGAAGACAAGATTATATACTCAAGATATACTAAGGCCAGGTAACCTTGTTTTCTCACGATTAAATTAAGGTACTATATCTTTGCCAGGAATATCCCATACACTTTGACAATCTGACTAAGCTGATGCATGCCAGTCTTAGTCAAGGTAAAATTATTTTATCTTTGTAATTAATATTTTGTAGGGTGCAACTTTGAGACTATGTAAATATTCCCTTCCTCATCAGACTTTCAAGTTATTAGGTTAATTACTAGTAGCAGAATAGATTCAGGGATCCCTATTCTAGTCAAAAGAAAATAATCAACTACTATCTTTATTTTTGGATATATCTTCAAATTTTTATATTTATAGTAGAATTACTATAAATATCAATTTTATTTTCAGATAGTGAGTTTTTGTGTAATATATAATTGGTAAAAGGGTTCTGCTGCTAAATGGATGCAAAAGCACTACTCTTTTACTTTTGCAATTTAGATTTATAATTATCTTCCTTTTCAGAAATCATAATAGATGGAATGGGATAAGAGCTTGAAGCTTTCTGATATAATAAAGTAATTCAAATCTTTCTTAGTACATAACACATATAGAAATGGTATTTGTCAGGAGGCAACTGGCCTCAGCTTTCTGGCTATCCTAGGCCTGTTCCAGCGATTTCAGGGACTGAGAGGAATCAATTATCTTTACTTACTTTTAATCTGTTCTAATCCATTCTTCACTCACTTTCAGTCCAATATTCCTAGCAGGAACATCTGCTAGGAAGCTCTGATTAGGTGGAAAGCAATAGCTGGTAGTCAGAATACTTGAATTAAAATCTTGGCTTTGTCTCTAGTGACTCTGGATAAGAAAAGTACTGTATTCTATAAATTTCTTTGAATGGATAATCACCCTCTGTCAATCTACTTGCAGATTTGAGGCAAGTTCTATCATCCCCTGGTTGCCTTAGTACTATTTTCCCAGAAGTAAGACTAAAAATAGTTAATAAGTAGTACATCACGATACTGGCCATCAGAAAAGATATTGGACATAGAGTAGAAGCAGGGTTTCAAAGGTCCCTCTTAGTTACTGGGTTGAAGTGAGGTCTAGGAGGCTCCAGGAGATGAGGTGAAGCTGGAGGTCATGTAAGGGGCTTAGTACAACAGCTATGTAACAAACTAAAGGATATGTGTTTGAGTATTTTAACAACGAATACTGACATATAGATGTGTGCTAGCTGAAAACTAGCCCTGTATATCTTACTTCATAGTGTCAGACACAGATTAAGTAATGCCTATTAATGAGTGACTGAATAGGTGATAAAGTCCCTCCCTAGCAATAACCCATGGACAGAGGAGCCTGATAGGCTACAGTCCATGTGGTCGCGAAGAGTTGGACACGACTGAGCGACTTCACTTTCACTTTTCACTTTCATGCATTGGAGAAGGAAATGGCAACCCACTCCAGTATTCTTGCCTGGAGAATCCCAGGGACAGAGGAGCCTGGTGGGCTGCCATCTGTAGGGTCACAGAGTCGAACATGACCGAAGCGACTTAGCAGCAGCAGCAGCAATAACCCATAATTTTCATTCTTTCGGTATTTAATTTTTATAAGCCTTATTTTCCTCATCTACAAGGCAGGGAAAATCCCAACAATCTTGCTATACTGAAGAATCACTTAAAGGAGCAGATGAGATAATCTATGCAAAAGTTCTATGGGGAAAACACTCTGTTCCATTGGTGAGACTAAAGAGAAAGGTTAAGATGTTAAAAAAAAACAACACCCACAGGTTTTGGCAAGCTAGCTACCTGAACATTTAAAATTTCCTTAGTATCATTCTTACCTGGAAATTAGACTGAAATACACAGCAGTCAACACTTTTATAGTGTCCCTTAAGCATAGTTATCTGTTCTCCAGAGTAAACTGTATAAACAGCAATGGTGCTACCATATGGTACAAAAACAAATTCTGAACTGCAGCCAGAGGAGACAGTGAATTTCAATCCTTTTCTACTATCATTATATACTTTTCCATAGTTGACCTGCAGGATGTAAAAGCATAAAGTTACTTATACATGAATTTAAAAGGCAATAGAGATAACTATTTACTTAAAATATTATACTATAGAAACAGCTCCAGTGAGTCTAAAGAAGATGATCAGTGTCATAATAGAAACAAGGACCAATGACATACATGTACATTTTGCATACAAGGGAAGTACAAATAGTAAAATGACCCACGAAAACAAATGTTCACATTTCAACCTTGACAGAAATAAAAATGCAAATTAAGGTAACCTTGAAAAATCATTTTAGACCATTTAGCAAAAATTTTAATAAACCATTAAGACACTCAATATTACTACAAGTGAGGTAAACATGTAGATGGCACTGTAATTTGGTTATCCCTTCTAAAAGGCCAAATGGTTTATTATGCAACAAAATATAAAGTATACCTTAATATTGACACATATGTATATATAAATACTTTTTTGGAGAGAGAATAACTTTATTTTTATACATATATAAAATACATATAACATAATATTAATATATAAATATACATGTAACAAAATTTAAATATATAATATAAAGAAAAAATACATATAACATAAAATTTGCCATCTTAACCATATTTAAGTATACAGTTCAGTGACATTAGGGCTTTCCAGGTGGCTTAGTGGTAAAGAATCCATCTGTCAATCTAGGAAATGCAAGATATGTGGGTTTGATCCCTGGGTCAGGAAGATCCCCTGGAGGAGGAAAGGACAACCCACTCCAGTATTCTTGCCAGAATAATCTCATGGACAGAGGAGCCTGGCGGGCTACTGTACCCGGGGTCACAAAAAGTCCTACACGACTGACACACATCAGTGACGTAAAGTATATTTACACTGCTGGGCAACCAGCACTACCATCCATTTTCTATCTTGCAAAACTGAAATTCTGTAACCATTAAACAACAAAGATATTTCTACTCCTTGACCTAGTAACTACTACTGGGAATGCATCTTAGGCTAATAATTAAACAGCAAAAAGGTATATGCCCAGAGGAATTCAATGTGGCCTTATCTAGAATGGCAAAGTAATTGAGAACAGATGTAAATTCCTAAGAGTGTTATATTAATTCTAGTTTATATAGCAGTTAAAAATTATAAGTTTGAAATTATGTAGAAAATAGAAATAAAACAAGTATAAAAAAGAAAAGAACACAAATAGTATATATACACTCTAATTGCAGCTTTATATAAAAAATTATATATTTGCAACAAAATAATAATTCTGCACCTGTACGCTAAAGTTGCAAGCCCAACAACATTAGCATCACCTGCACAATTAGAAATGGAATTCCAGATCCCATCCCAACCTACTGAACTACAATCTTCATTTTAACAAGATCCCCAGATGATCTGTAAGTCCATCAAAGGCTGAGAAGCTTTGGGCTAAAGAAATTGACAGGTTTACTTTCTGCTGACAATTTAGATAATCAGTTTAAGGTAAGTATAAAACCAGTATCTAATGATCTGAGAATTATGAGTGGGATCACCAAAATCTCCCTTCACTATGGCTAATACTGGAGTTTAAACAGTGAGTGATTTGTGTGTGTGTGTGTGTGTGTGTGTCTCAAAGGGATACGCAATGGTAATTATGGATACTACACTCAGCTTACACACCACTGAGATTTATATGTGAGAGAAATGAGCACATGTATTCAGCAATCAGTGGAATGGTATAGTGAAATGTTAAAATATTAAACTTATAATCAGTAGATTTGGGTTTCTGAAACCAACTCCACCCCCCTACCTTTTTTTGCCTCTTATGAGTAATGAATGACTTGAGTTTCATTCTTCTAATATGTTAAAAGGAAATAACGCTGTTTACCAGAGATCGTCAAAAATAAAAAGAAATAATGCATAAGAGAAAACCTAGGATACGAAAGTATTCAGAGTCCCTAGATTTATTAATTCTTATATATTTAAAATTATAACATTCCAAAAAAAATTAAAAAAAAAAGTATAACATTCCCCCACTTGTGTATTTTGATTCTTCATGCACAACAATTTGTAGAATAACATCAGGGTGGGAGGATGGAGAAAAAAACACAACTAGCAGAAAAAGAAAAATCTCAACTAGCAATTTTCTGTTCCTCCTAGAAAAATTATGAACTGCTAGACTGTAATGGTCTTATTCATACATCAGAACACCTACCTACAAAATGTATGTTCTTTCCATTATACCACATTCTATCCCAAATGTGAGCTGGAAAGTGTTCAATGAGGTACAAATACTGAACTAGCTCACTAACTTCTGTCTGTGTTTTAAGGTGCTCCCCCTGCAATCCATCTTGCAATTTACTGTCCTATTAATCTTGGTAACTCACTGTTGTGATCAAATAACCTTTGGGATCTAAACTATCAATACCTTTTCAATGTCCATGGAATGAAGTTCTAATAACAGACTAAGGGAAGGAGAGATCCACTGTTTACTAAGTGCTCAGTGTCACACAATGTGCTAGGTGATTACCTAAGCTCCCCATTTTATGACTATAAGTATTTACCATAAAAAGCAGTGTGTGACAAATATCATACTATATATTATTATGAAAGTAAGCAAAGAAGAACTAAAGAGCCTCTTGATGAAAGTGAAAGAGGAGAATGAAAAAGTTGGCTTAAACCCCAACATTCAGAAAACTAAGATCATGGAATCCAGTCCCATCACTTCATGGCAAATAGATGGGGAAACAGTGGAAACAGTGAGAGACTTTATTTTTTGGGGCTCCAAAATCACTGCAGATGGTGACTGCAGCCATGAAATTAAAAGACGTTTACTCCTTGGAAGGAAAGTTATGACCAACCTAGACAGCATATTAAAAAGCAGAGACATTACTTTACCAACAAAGGTCCATCTAGTCAAGGCTATGGTTTTTCCAGTAGTCATGTATGGATTTGAGAGTTGGACCATAAAGAAAGCTGAGTGCCGAAGAACTGATGCTTTTGAACCGTGGTCTTGGAGAAGATTCTTGAGAGTCCCCTGGACTGCAAGGAGATCCAACCAGTCCATCCTTAAGGAGATCAGTCCTGGGTGTTCATTGGAAGGACTGATGTGGAAGCTGAAACTCCAATACTTTGGCCACCTGATGCAAAGAGCTGACTCATCTGAAAAGACCCTGATGCTGGGAAAGATTGAGAGCAGGAGGAGAAGGGGACAACAGAGGACAAGATGGTTGGATGGCATCACTGACTCAGTGGACATGAGTTTGGGTAGGCTCTGGGAGTTGCTGATGGACAGGGAGGCCTGACATGCTGCGGCTCATGGGGTCGCAAAGAGTTGGATATGACTGAGCGACTGAACTGAACTGAACTGAATAACAGGCTACTTTTGGTTATGATGTCTTCAAGTAGGTATGTACAGGCTTTGAAAAGATTTTGATGGGGAGGAAATTTCACAGATGTTGGATAGGATGATGGCAAATACAATTCCCTATCTTATGAATTCCTTTTATTGTCCCAGAAATATATACATCTTGTCACTGAGTAAATACCTACAGTGTGCAGAGACTCCATCATAAGGCAGCTCATTTCACTGTCAAACAACTATCAGCATAATTAATGACAGGTGAGGAAGATCCCCCTGGAGAAGAAAATAGCAAACCATTCCAGTGATCCTGCCTGGAGAACTCCATGGACAGAAGAGCCTGGTGGGCTCCTACTCATTAGAAGTTGGACATGACTGAGCAAATAACACTTTCACTGTTCAACATTTACTGAATGTTAACATTTGCTGTAAGTATCAGACAATGTGTACCAAATATTTCACATGTATTATTTCATGTAATATGCAAAACAATACTATGAGACAGGCAGCATTATTAAACAAATGAAAACACTTAGAAGAGCTAAGTATTTCAAGCAAGGTCTCTTGGCTAGTAAACGACAGAATTAGAAACTAATCTAGGTTACAGTAATCAAAAAGTACGGTACCACACTGTTCTAAATTATTTTTCTTTCATTCCACTAAATGATGGTCACAGGCTACTGTAATACAAGTGAGCACTAGGTACTGTGGAATCATGTAAGCTAAACTAGAGGAGTTAAAGAGAAGTTGTGCCTGAGATGAATTTTGAAGGCTGAGAAGCAGCTAGTACAGAAGAGAGTATTCTAAAGCAAAGGCAGCAGTCTATACAGCAGAATGGAAGGGTGAGAAAGCCTGGCATATGGCACCCCACTCCAGTACTCTTGCCTGGAAAATCCCATGGATGGAGGAGCCTGGTGGGCTGCAGTCCATGGGGTCGCTGGGAGTCGGACACAACTGAGTGACTTCACTTTCCCTTTTCACTTTCATGCATTGGAGAAGGAAATGGCAACCCACTCCAGTGTTCTTGCCTGGAGAATCCCAGGGACGGGGGAGCCTGGTGGGCTGCCGTCTGTGGGGTCGCACAGAGTCAGACACGACTGAAGCGACTTAGCAGCAGCAGCAAGTTACTCAATAGGGCTAACGGTTGGGAAAAAATGGGGAAGTGGCAAGATATAAAGATATAAAGTTGGTGAGTGAGAAGAGACAGCTTATGAAGGCCTTGTGGACAGTAGGCAAAAACATTCAGTTTTAATGACCTGAAAGTGTACTGATGAAACACTGAAAGACTTTCACACTGAAAGATGAGTTTGGAAAAGTTAGAAGGATGTTAGAGTAGCTAAAAAGAGCAATCCTGAGGGCCCAGAGTAAGGCTGGAAGGGAAGACAACTATGAAAAAAATTAAGAAGAAATTAACAGGACCACTAATTTGACTTAATTAGGAAGGTGGGATATAGGAAGAGAAGAATAAAGGACAGACTCCCACTTTCTAGACATTGGTAAATGGGTGAATGATAACATCAGTAACTAAAACAGTAAATACCAGAATTGTTATTTTAAAATTTTGTTGTGCCAAAAGCTATCTCTCTGTGAATTTTGCCTGTGGGTACGTGTTCTGTACTCCAAGGCAATGGTCTCCAGATTGCAGCTGGTACCTCAAGGAGTCTGTAAGATGATCCATTATGGTGTGAGAGGAAAATGTGAGAATTTCTGTTTCATTTTTAACTAAAAAAATAGAAAGTAAGTTTTCATAAAATATATAGACTCAACAGTAGGTGTATATAATTTACAAATAATTATAGACACATTGGAAGCATATACTTACACATTTTTCTCAAAATAGTAAGGGTACTATTCAGCAGGCAGCACCCTACAATGAAAATGGTTATCGTTTATGATATGCCTATTACTCAGCAGGTTATGGTCCAACTCTTTACCTACTTCCATTCTACCCTTACAATGACTGTTTAGGTACATAATAATCCTGATTTACAAAATGGAGACATTGAAACTGACCATAGTCCTTCATAAACTCACCTTAAATAAATTGCCTAATATCCCCAAGTTACTAAATGGCAGGACTGGAATTTATTTACTATTCTGACAGCCCATTAAATGTTTAAAGACCGTGTTTTCCCTAAGAATTACTTTTCTGGGATCAGTGTCTCAATTTTTTTAAGTGTCTTTGTAGGTGAGTTTCTGGGCCACTAGTATTTTTACATGAATGACTTTTTCTCTGATCAAGACCTTTTTAAAATGTATTATTCATTATAATGGCTTCCCTGGTGGCTCAGACAGTAAAGAATCCACCTGCAATGCAAGAGACCCGGGTTTAATCTCTGGTTTGGAAAGATCCTCTGGAGAAGGGAATGGCTACTCAATCCAGTATTCTTGCCTAGAGAATTTCAAGAACAGAGGAGCCTGGCAGGCTACAGTCCATGGGGTCACAAAGAGTTGGACATGACTGAGCAACTAACATAATTCCATCATAAACACACTATTCAAAATATGGACTTCTAGCAAAAATCCACAGATTATGAGTAGCACCTTCAAGAAGGAGAGAAAAATGGAATAAAATCACATTAACAATTTATGGATATACTCACTACCATTTATATCTATCACATTCACCTTTGATGCACACGTCAACTTACTTTTCCAAAGTGACACTGTCACTTCTCTACTCAAAAGCCTTGAGCAGCTTTCCATTTCACCCACAAAAAAAGCCAAAGCCCTTATAAATGGCTACAAGCCTATAAGCTCTGGTATACTGTTCCTTCTGCTCCTCATCTCCTGTTACTCTCTCCTTTGCTTACTCTAGTCTAACACAAGAGCCACATACATGTTCCTTGGGTATCCCAAGCATGCTTCTGCCTGCAGGTCTTTGTACTTTCTTCCTTCTTCCTAGAATGCTTCCCCCGCCAGAAGTTGGATGACTCAGCTCCTTCATTTCCTTCAGGTCAAATGTCATCTTCTGAGTGAGACCTAGCTTGACTGCTCTATATAAAACATCAACTCCGACTTCCCAATATTTTCTATGTTCCTTTTCTTGCTTTGCTTTTCTTCATAGAACCTGCTGTGCTGTGCTGTGCTTAGCAGATCAGTCATGGCAGACTCTTTGTGACCCCATGGACTGTAGCCCAGACTCCTCTGTCCACGGGGGTTCTCCAGGCAAGAATACTGGAGTGGGTTGTCATGATCTCCTCCAGGGAATCTTCCCAACCCAGGGATTGAACCCAGGTCTCCTGCATTGTAGGCAGACTCTCTACCATCCAAGCCACCAGGGAAGCCCCTTCATAGCACTTACTGCACATAATACATATTTTACCAATCCATCCACCCATCCATTTATCCATTGCTTGAATGATGGATGTCTTTCTTTCTCTCCCTGGAAGGTAAGCTCCACAAGGAGAGAACTTTTCTGTGTTTGTCTACTGCTGTATAGTACTGCCTGGCATATAGGAAGTACTTAGTAAATACTTATTAAACAATGAATACAATGAGAAAAGGAAGGCAAGACATAACTAGGGACATGTACAATATAATGGATAGGAGAGTCTAAACGAGACCTCACAATGCCTATATTTTCAGCCTGAGAATTTCATAAAGAATAAGAGGGATTAGCAAACTCTAATCTAGCACAAACAATTCTGACTTTAAAGTTAGTTTTTAATAATAAAAGTAATACATAGGATATTTAAGATAGAATTAGCTAGAAAGGATGAAAGAAAGGAATATGATTTAATATTAATATGAACCTTAAGGCAGTTAATAAATGCTTTAAGGGGCCTGGGTATAATCAACATTATGGTAACAGTGGAATCGAGAGTCAAACTTGTTTTCTAGCTATGTAAATTCAGGCAAGTTACCTAATTTTATGTCTTATTTTACTCATGTGTAAAATAGATATTATAATAACATCATAATAACAAGAACCTACAGAGTGTTGATGTGGTCATTAAATAAGGCCATATATAGTCTGGCCTATACAGTATAAGATAATTTTTATTAGCATAGTAACTAGGATATAAGTGCTTGATAAAGATTAGCTGTTAGTATTATCACCAAATTAAAAACTTTTGGAAGCCTATTCTGATAGTTACTAAAACAAGAGGTACGTTTTGTAAGGACCATAACATAAAATTTTTAAAAAGTACTAAAAATTAATTACTACATAAGAATCTAGCACTTTCATGGAAAGGGTGTGGAGAAAAGGGAACCACACTGTTGGTGGGAATGTACATTGGTGCAGCCACTATGGAAAACAGTATGGCTGTTCCTTAATAAACTGAAAATAGAGTTATCATATGATCCAGTAACCCCACTCCCAGACATATATCTGGAAAAGAAGAAAACACTAATTCAAAAAGATACACGCACCCCAATATTCCTAGTGTAACTATTTATAGTAAGACACAGAAGCAAACTAAATGTCCACTGACAGATGAAATGGATAAAGATACACACACCCACACACACATACTAGAATATTACTCAGCCATTAAAAAAAAAAGCCATTTGCAGCAACAAGGATGAACCTAGAGATTATCATACTAAGTGAAGTGAGTCAAAGATAAATATTATATGCTATCATTTACATGTGGATTCTAAAAAATTATACAAATAAAGTTATTTACCAAACAGAAACAGACCCACAGACACAGAAAACAAAGTCATGGTTACCAAAGAGGGCGTGAGGTGGGGTGGGGTGGGGCGGGGCAGATATATTAGATGTATGGGATCAATAGATGTTGCTGTTAATAGATTAATAGATACACACCACCATATACAGAATATGTAAACAACAAGAGTTTACTACATAGCACAGGGTACTATATACAATATCTTACAATCACCTATAAAGGAAAAGAACTGGAAAAATAGAATATACAGATATGTACATATGCTTAAGTGAATCATTCTGCTGCACACCTGAAACTAACACAAAATTGAAATAAATTACACTTCCATTAAAAAAAAGAATCCAGCACTTTTAGAACACATCTACTCCAGTATTAAAAGTGCCATACATTTTGCCATTGTAACATTCATTTTGGATTTTGCTTACAAGTCAGATACAATATAAAATTTGACTATTTAACTATATAGCTTTAATTTATATCAGTTGTTCTCAATCTTTTATTCTTCTTCAACATACTTAAGAGACATGGCACATTCCCATTATGCACAGTGGCTCAGCAGAGCAGTGATTCTCCACTAAGTGAGGAGAGTGTAGTGGGGGTAAGGTGCAGTGGATTGTCCGGAGTTGAGAATTACTAGTTCACTAATGGAAACATAATATAAAGTGAAAGCTATGATTCAGAGGCAAGAAACAAAGTTAAATCTACAGAAAAACATCAAGTGTATGTCACAGATCCATTTCTTCAATGTACATCCAAAAGGTTCAAAGTACTTAAAAATGTCTTACTAGTGTATTTTCTCCATTGGAACTATTCCAGAGCCTCATTCGATTATCTGTGCCAACAGTGAGTAGGTGAAGACCATCACTTGTAAAACATAAGCCGTTAACCTTTCCATTATGAGCAGTGTTTGCTGTAATGAAAAACACAATTCAGATTACTCTTCTTATAAATTCAACACATGTAATGCCTGATGACATAGTTATTAAATATATTAAACACATTAAGGACATTAAACACATAATGTCCTTTAAACACAGTAAAGGACAACTATCTGAACTACTTAAAATATGTAAGTTGATTATATTTAAAATTAATCATCCCTTTTGATTATTTGAATATGATAAGCTATACAATTAGAACCATAATAATAGAGGAAAACAGGAAAACCAAAGGGAAAAAATGTTGCCAAATAAAATTTTTCTTCAGGAGGTAAGCTGTGCTATTAAACCTAATTAAATACAGAAACTATCAGTAAAATTTTGAATTAAATACCTTTTAAACTTCTTATATATTAACACTCTATTTTCAATCTAAAAATCATTTCATGGACTATTAAAAACCAATAATATCAGTATTTCCTTCTTAAAAATAACCGTTCCAGTCTCAATCAAAAGTGATATTACTTTCAAAATGAACGGGTTTAAGAAAGCATAATCCTCAATAGTCTGATTAACTTAATTTAAGAGATTATTAAAACAAACATAGGTTTTAAATAGTTCATCTGAATGTATTTCTGGTCCAAATATAATTCTAAATCAGAATTTTAATCTACATAGAAATTACACTCTATTGTAAAAATGCAATTGAATTACTTTGTCTCCTAGATTGCAGTGGATTCAAATTTCATACAACCACAAATTTTGTGACAAACTTGCCACAAAATGTTACCATTCCTTTAATTTATTATAACTTCCTAAATGGTACTGAATTTGTGTTGTTAGTTGGCCTCATGTGAGCAAAAAAAAAGTTTCTACCGATACATTAAAAAATTCAGGAACAGAAGGAATGACATACTTGTATTTTGAGGGAGACAACCATAGTTAGTTGATGTAAATTTAGCAATCGATTCATTGTGAATGCCTTTTTAAAAACATATAAAATCTATAATTTTTCAATATATTTATTATCTGGTTTCAATTCAAATTTTTCAATATAAAAATACTGTCAATGTCATATTCATATATTAATGCACTTTTCATTACCTGATTCAGCTGCTTGCGACTTTTTCCCATTATGCTGATCAAGAGTTATCAAGCATCCTGATGCTTTCCTCACATCCCATAATTTTGCTCTACTGTCAGCACTGAGAGGAAATAAATGTTACATTGACATACATAGCTAGGATAAGGACTCTGCTCCTCACCCACCTTTCCTATATTATTGGCATACAGACTCTCAGTGTATTAGCACAAATGCACTTGTATATTTGGGTGGCTATACTTTTGCCTTTCCAGCAAATACCCAGTAGTCAATAGAAGCACAAAGAAGTGAAAAAAAAAGAAAAAAAAAAGTAATCTTTTTTAAATCACAAGGGATTCTGTTGCTCTTTCTGTTGTTTTTAATGACATGAGCATCCTTCTCTCCAAAGACAAGGCAGGCTAAGAGCTTTTTTCCTTGGTAAGTTTGCTGCTAAATCCCCATATCCTTTCTATTGCTTGTTATTCAAATGCTTACAGAATCATGCAGTGAACTAATTTCACTTTGCTTAAGAATTCATTTGGTAGGAATGGTTTTTCTTTTTATTTGAAAAAAACTGAAAATAAGGTGAATAATAAGGACAATATATTTTTATTTGATTTCCTGTACTCAAATCAATCTTTGCCAAAACAAAGGAAATACATTTAATGTCTCTTAGAATTAGAGACTTATTTGCATTTTACTTCAAGTGAAAAGAAAAAGGCAAAACCATGAGCACAAACCAATTTCAGCTTCTAAACTACTCCAAGGGAAAACATAAATCAGTTCAAGCATGCTATCATATCCTCAGAAAGCCCTTAATAATATTTTAACCCATTGGGTTTATCTAGGCCATTTTAATCAAGAAGAGCATTACACTGCATTTTATAAGCCTATTCCTCATTTAAAATCTTTTAAAATGTATATATACAGGGTTTAGCTCTTTCTATAACTTTGATTCTTTTCACAGATCACAAGCAAAGCAAACCTAGCCAACTGAAATAGCTGGCAAAAAGTTAGTGTTTCCCATTCTCAATTGGTTTTCTTTCTTGTCAATAGGGGAATAGGTCTGCAGTGGTAGAGTCTGAAGACGTAAGTCTCTTCTGAAACATTAGGTTTGGACATATCTGACTCCTAACACTGACTACAAGGTCCGTTCTGGAACTGATTCGAATTCCTGGGGTACTCTGAGAATTGAAAGCCTCTAAGTCTCCCTCTTGATTTGAGGAAAACCAAATTAGAAAAGAACAATGTAAATCCACTGTAGCATGGAACACACCCAACGCCTAGCTCCTCACCTTCACACCTCTTTAGCAACCTCTTGTGGCTACACTGGGGCTTCCTTGGGGGCTCAGACGGTAAATAAACTGCCTGCAATGCAGATCAGGGTTCGGTTGGATCCCTGGGTCGAGAAGATCTCCTGGAGAAGGGAATGGCACCCCACTCCAGTATTCTTCCCTGGAGAATTCAATTTCATAGAGAGATAGAGGCTTCCATGGCTACAGTCCATGGGATCGCAGTCAGACATGACTGAGAGACTAACACTTTCACCTGCGGCTACATACTAGACTTTATTCTACTTCAGAAATTACAAATTTCAGTGTCACATTCTGCAAACTATTAACACAAGTTTCTCTGGGGACTAACCTGTGACAGAAAAGGAGGGCTGGCAGCTTTACAAAAATACAGATACATTTCTTTGTAAACCTAAAAATGTAGTTTTTCTAATAATTCTTCTGCAAAAAGTTTTATTAAAATGTCTGTATCAAAATTTGATTACTACTTCCTATCCCTTCAAGTTTCAAAATTTTCTGTTTGACACTCTTACATCTATCTAGGTCATTGATCCCTCCTATAAGCCTTCTAGTGATTTTATTACGTTCCTTATACCTATGACTTTACCAACTTTTAAACAACTGTTAAGTCTGTGTCATTCAATGTTTTAATTTCCGTGTCATAGCACAGCAGTGCACTACACCTTCAACAGAGAAGACAATACTGACCAGCAATTCTATGTGTACCTAATCAGCTCCCTCTTCCATTCATTAAAACTTCTATTTCAAACCTTTACTACCCTCTCTGAACACTGCATCTATGTATTTTCAATAGATGACATCAAGTTCTAAAATACAAGAAACTGGGTTTGCATTTCTTGAACTTCTCTGCCAAAGTCACAAATTTAATTGTATTGACACTTACTATTTCCTCCTTGCATGTAGTTATGGTGCCCTTCATGTGCCAGATCAAGTGTCCCCCTTCTAATGGGACCCTTGATGTTATCTTTGCCTGTCTATTCAAGGTCCTGATATACCAATTACTCTCTCCATTTCTTATCTTCACTAATTTCTCTCCACCAATACTCTTCCCTCAGCATTCAAATATACAAGACTCTTCCTTCCAGCAAACAAAACCCCCAAACCCTATGATCCTCAAGAGTAAAGTGCTCTTGTTCTTTCTTCCCATGAACCTCTCAGAGATGTACCTCTCCTAAGCATTTTTCAGGATGTCCTACAATCACTGATTTTTCTGACTATACTCCCTCATTACACTATTACCTTCTTGGAGGGACTCTGCCTGTGCTATCTCTGTGTCCCTGGTACAATGCTTGGCACATGACAGGAATCATTAATTGTCAGTAAATTGAATCAATGAATGTGGATGGAAGTGATGAATCAGAATTAAAATAATTTTGGGTTAAAAGAAAATGAATTAAAATGCTACTAATTTTAAATTAATAGAGTGCAACACTTTTGCAGGCAAAAACGACACAACACAGTGTTTCATGGGTAGTATTAAGAGATTTGCCTTGCTACATAGATTCAGTTGTTACCTGTTTTTAAAAATGAGGATCTTCAAGTTGGATAGTCAGGATTAGGATTATGATGAATAGAAAGATTTTATTTGGTAATGTGAATTAAAATCTTTAATTCAATTATTTTTCAGGACTTACTTAACAGCTAAAAATGTACCTAGCATAAAACAATCTTTTCAAAATGCTTATCCCTAATTATTAATCTCAAACCCAAATAGTTTGTATTTTACCTTGCAGTTGCCAAGATATGTTCATAACGTGGTGACCAGGAAACTGCCAATATTTCTTGTCTGTGACCTGCAAAACAACTGTATATAATGACTTGCATTTTGAAATATGCATTTTCAAATCTTTTGAAATATCACAAGATATAGTGTAATTAACTTTGCCTGATTATGAAGAAAGCACAGACTAAATTTTAAAAGTGAACTGATATAATCATTTTTTCACATTTACAATAATCTATATTTAAATACTAATGTGAAGTCTATGGGGCATTCCTCACATATGGTATTTTATTATAAAAGGCTTGGGTTTGCTTTGGAAAGAACAGCCAGAGCAAGTGAGTCTGTCTTTTTAAATATAGCTGTTAGCCTAGTAGGTCAGTCCATCAATAAATGACATAGCTCAAGCTTACTTATGTATCTCTACAACAAAATCCCTGCAACAGGCCATACAAGACAAACATTTGTTGTGGTCCTTTAATGGATTGGAACCTGGTGGTATGGAGTCAACGATAAGAAAGTAAAAGAGAGAAAGAGGCTGATATTCCCTGGTTTACGCAGAGGACCAATAAAGCCCTTGACACAGGACTTGCATCGATCACGAAGGCACCACGCACCCTCTCCAGAGGGTGAAGGCACAAAGTGCCTTCTCAAGAGGGTCTTAGAAGCCTGGGCAGGAAAGTGAGCACTACAGGTCTCCACGCTCCAGAGAATCAGCCAGAAAAAGAGAGAGAGAGAGAGAAACAAAAAAGACATGGGGACCTAAGCTCTGATGGAGCAAAGGTGCTTTAATGATTTTTCTATGAGTATATATAGGCTGTGGTACAAGAAACTTCTTTCGGGAATGACAGAGATCAGCAAACCAAACGTACAGCAACCGTTACCAAGGGAACAAGGGGTAATGTTAGCCACAAGGTCAGGAGACAATCCATACCTCAAGAAGGGGGAGCAAGACTAAGCAGTTTTGTCCTAAAGAGAATGTTTACTAAAGGAGACCCAAGCCTGCCTCACACAATGACCTCAGTCCCTGGGAGCAGCGTGCTGTTCCGCTTGAAGAGGGACAAAGGACTATGAGAGACAGCACGTCGGAATCCTCCTGTCAAACACTCCCTGACAAACATTCTGAAGACTAAAAATGTTTCCTAACGTTTTTCAGAAAGTTGTAACAGAAAAGATTATTTTAATTCATAATTGTAAAAAGCATTTATATAAAAATTTTTGTTTACAGCACAAGTGATAAGTTCATAGGACAAGTGAATTCAGCATTTTAAATCATTTCTACCTAACTATTCAAATTATATATTTTCATCTACTTAGTATATTTCATAGAGATTCATAATATAAAACCGATGTTATCCATCTCATCAAGTTTTCCTAATATATTTACTATGTGTTTCTCAGAGATGAATACAAACAGAATTTCTGAATTACATCCTATTTTTTTCACTGTTTAGAATTAGACAATCTAATACTGATAAAAAAAAGTAGCAAAAATAATTTAAGGCGGTAAACCTTTACCAAATTTTATTTCAATATTTTTTCTAAAATATTTTTATTGAGAAAAGAAGTACCTAAATATTAAGAACGTCTACTCAGCTAGAACAATATTAAATAATGCTCATAGAGACAGCTGTATTGATTTAAGTTTCATAAGTAGTTCATTTTTTTCAAAGTAGAACTAACACAAGGTTTTGAGTTTGACTTTCTGTATCCTTTAAGCTTCCCCTGCAGCCATTGTTCATATAAATGTCTCCTTAATAGTTTAGTTTTATAAGAATAATGCACAGAAGGATCTTTATTTCCCTGTTGACTTCTAACAACACAAAACACATCAGTCATGTCATTTACAAAGACTGCATTGTTAGTAATGTTTCATTTTATTGAATGGTTTACTCAAAGTAGTAGTTGTTTCAAATAAAATACCCTGTAGAATGTGGGAACAGGATCCAGACTTCAAGTCACAAAGTTGTACTTTGGGTCCTCTAGTACCAACTGTAAAAACAAAAACAAAATGGTTTAAGATAATTTAATTATAAATGATCACCAAAAGGAAATAAGAAACTACCATTATGAATCATGACATTTTCACTTGCAGAAATATAAAAATGTGTGTTAATACTATAGTTTTTATGTTATAACTAGAAAATTATTTTAGTTGTAGTCATATGTCAGTACTAAGATTATTCTTCTCTATTACAATAGATTCACAGGAAGCTGCAAAGCTAGTGCAAAGAGGCCCTATGTAGCCTTCACCCAGGTTGTCCCAAAGGTTATATGTTAGGTAACTATAGTACAGTATCAAAACCAGGAAATGTGTACTGGTACAATGTGTTTATAATTCTACATTATTTTATCACTTAAATCATTTTAATAGCTTAGCTGTTCCATGTTAATAATGCAGTAGTAACAGATTCGCAGAAACTCTAGACACAGACTGAGTGAGCTTCAAAGACGAGTTAGTGCCCAAACGCTCTGCAGATGAAGCAGCTGATTAATGTCCAGAGGTGAGGAGATTCATGCAGTGCCACAGAAATAATATCACAGGGACCTGATGCCTGATACTAGAAAAATATTTTTTCATCTTCATACATCAAAATTTTTGTTGTAGGTGCTTTCATAAAAATGGATGTTTAATTTGAATCACACATTCTCAGAGAGAAGGAAGTCATTTGTTTTACTATGTTGAATGAAAGGCTGCCAAATTTTGTTTACATAGAATCCTTGAACTTTGGTGGTTTAAAAAAATTCTTGAAAGAGAAAGTCACTCAATCCTGTCCAACTCTTTGCAACCCCACAGACTATACAGTCCATGGAATTCTCCAGGAAAGAATACAGGAGTGGGTAGCCTTTCCCTTCTCCAGGGAATCTTCCAAACCCAGGTCTCCCGCATTGCAGGAGGATTCTTTATCAGCTGAGCTCCCAGAGGGTAAAAAAGCAATTCTTAAGGGAACAGAAATGTGCTTTCTTTCTTTCTTAAAAACACCGCACAAATGATACTGGTTTTCATCATTTTATTTTTACTTATTTATACATTTACTCTTCGGCTGTGCTAAGTCTTTGGTGCTGTGCGACCTTTTCCTCTAGGTGTGGCGAGTGGGGCTACTCTCTAGATGCAGTGCACAGCTTTTCTCGCAGCGGCTCCCCTTGTTGCAGGGCACTGGCTCGAGGCACACAGGCTTCAGCAGTCGTGGTGTGAGAGGCTCAGCAGCTGCGGTTCCCAGGCTCCAGAGCACAGGCTCCACAGTGGTGGCACATGTGCTTAGCTGCTCTGTGGCATGTGGGATCCTCCTGGACTAGGGATTGAACCCATGCCTCCTGCATTGGCAGGCAGACTCTATATCACTGAGCCACCAGGGAAGTCCCAGAAATGTGCTTTCTTAGTCTTCAAATCCTAGCCACTCTGAAATCTAGCATGGTGCCTGACTTGTACAATATCTGTTAAATGGAATGAATATAAATGCTAATATATATTTAAGTTTTTGTTTTTTTTAAAGAATTGTGATCTTCATCTGGGTTAAAATGTTTATATCAAAACTAACTAGGTATTAAAAGGGAAAAAGTTTTCAGGATGCTAAAAAAAAAAAAAAGAACACAAATACAAACCTGCTACCAAACAGTGCTTGGTGGCAACTGGAGACATATGATGACTATAAACTGTTTCTTCAAAATTAAATACATCGGCAATCTGGTAATCAAAAGACATTTAAAATAAGTGTAATCACAAAAGCAGCAAATTTTCTATTTACTTATTGTTACACTGTTAGTAGCTTTTAAATAGTTAGCAATTTATTTTTCTCTAATAAATTCCAGAGATTAAGACAAGATAACCTCCTGGTTCACCATCTTTCTTTCTGCTCCATTCTGCAGAACTTCAGCACCTACAGAAACGATCTAGTCAGTACTCTGCCTCTCAGTTCCATATAACCTCAGCTACCACACCTGGGACACTCTCACCACATAAAACTGCTCCTCCTTTGAAATCACATATTTCAGTTACATATGACCAGAACTTTATATCATTTCAGCTCCCCCAACCACATCTAAGAAACCCAAACAAAGCCTAGCAGCTCTATCCGTTCCTCCTGTCTTCACTTTTCCTCCTTCAGCTTGGATTCCAAGGTTGAATGCTTCAGCTCCAGGATCTTCAACTCCTTTGCCATCATCATCTCACCTGTCAAGGCCTCAATCCTGGATGACTCCAAATGTCTGCCTTCTGTGCACCTATATCCAGGTTTAACTACAGTAGAGGTCAACAAACTTTTTTAGTAAAGGGTCAGATTGTAAATATTTTAGGCTTTGAAGACCAACTACTCATTTCTGTCACTGCAGAGTCAAAGTGGCCACAGACAATAAATGAGCATGTCTGTTACAGTAACACTTTGTTTACAAAAAAAGAGTCCATGAGAAGCCTTGGCCGAGAGCACACACTTGGCCTATTGGCTGCAGTCAGCTGACCTCCGCCTCATGAAGGTGAGAAAACCTTTTTTTTTTTTTTTTAAGAAAACCTTATAGTAGTGCAGACTGCGTGCATGCTCAGTCGCTGCAGTTGTGTCTGACTCTTGGTGATCCCATGGACTATAGTCCACCAGGCTCCTCTGTCCATGGGATTTTCTAGGCAAGAATACTGGAGTGGGTTGCCACTTTCTTCTCCGGGGGATCTTCCCAACCCACAGAGAGACAGAAACCACGTCTCTTCACTAATCATCAGGAAAATGCAAATGAAAACCACAATGAGATATCACCTCACATCTGTTAGAATATCTATTATCAAAAAGAGATAACAAATGTTGGCAAGGATATGTATAAAAGGAAACCTCTGTGATTATTAGAGGGAATGTAAATTAGTGTAGCCATTATAGAAAACAATATGGAGGTTCCAAAAAATTAGAACCATACGATCCAGTGATCCCACTTGTGGTTATATATCCAAAGGAAATGAAATCACTGTTGCAAAAGAGATAGCTGCATCCTCACATTTTTAACAGCACTGTTTATAATGGCCAAATCATGGAAACAACCGAAGTACCCATCAACACATGAAGGGATAAAGAAGACCTGATATGTATACACACACGCACATATATATATGATGGAATGTTATTCAGCCATGAGAAAGAATGAAATTCTGCCACTTGTGACAATATAGATAGACATTAAGGGCATTAAATACTAAGTGAAGTAAGTCAAAAAGAGAGGAATAAATACTGTATACCACTTACAAGCAGACTCTTAAAAAGCCAAACTGATAGAAACAGTGAACAAAATGGTGATTACTGGAGCTGGGAGAAATAGAAAGATGTTGGCCAAAGAGTATAAAACTTCCAGTTATAACATGAACAAGGGAAGGGAAAAGTTTCATAGGGAAGGAAACTTGAAGTAGGGAATACAACATTTAAGATGTGTTCAGAAGGCAAAAGGAGATCAATTTAGTGGCAGTACATTATCTACGTTGAAAAGAGTAGAAGCTAAGGTTGAGAAAGTAGAAGTGAGGTTACAGAGAACTTAGAATGCCAGGCTGAATTTAGACAATGGAATCACTCCAAATCACACCAATGGAATCAATCCAAAGGTGGTTTGGGTTGAGACAGGCTGAAACTGCTTTATTCTAATTAATTCTGGGGTAGAACTTACTATGGAACTGTGAGAAGAAAAATAATAAAAAGAAATCATTTAGGAGTTTATAGGTAGTCCAGATGAACAGTGACAGTGAGGGAAACAGAAAAGAGAAATCTGAGAGTCTGAAGGAAGACCTGCTAAGATTTGAGGACTAAATGGATATGAGTTCACTTCGATTTAGAATATGTTTAGTTTGAGATGACGACACTACATTTAAATCAGAGAGGTTCTGTATACAGGTAAAGACACATGGAACTAGAGCTCAGGGAAAAAATTAGCATGAGAAAGAAAAATAAAACTTGATCAAATAGCATAAAAACTACTATCTACTGTTTACTTCCTAGGTGGTGCTATTGGTAAAGAACCCGCCTGCCAATGCAGGAGACATGAGATGGGGGCGCAATCCCTGGGTCAGGAAGATCCCCTGGAGCAGGACATGGCAACCTGCTCCAGTATTCCTGCCTGGAGAATCCCATGGACAGAGGAGCCTGGAGGGCTACAGTCCATAGGATCGCACAGTTGACATGACTGAAGCAACTTAGCATGCAAGCGTGCACTGTCTACTTTACTCAGCTATAATATTAATAACTTTCTTTTTCCTTATGTTTTTAGGTTAATAGGAGATAAATCCAATATTCTTCCCTACACCATTATACCACAGAAGTTTTTGAGTAATAAAGTATATAACAGCTAATGGTATTTGAATACTTACTATGTGCTAGGCGTCGTTCCAGGTACTGTACACATATCAACCTATTTAATCCTCACAGCCATTCTACAGGGTACAATCATTACTCCCATTACATACAGACACAGAGAAGTTCGGATACTTGCCCAATCAATATCATATAGCTAGCTAGCAGACGGGGCTTCCCAGGTGGCTCAGTAATAAACAATTTGGCTGCCAAGCAGGAGATTCAGGTTCAATCCCTGGTTGGGAGCCTGGTGGGCTACAGTCCACGGGGTTGCAAAGACTTGGACACGACCCAGCAACTAACCAGCAGCAGTCAGCAGCAGAGGCAAGATATGAACTCAAGCAGTATCGTTCTCCTCAATCACTATGCTGCTTTCACCTCTAACATATATGACACCTTAGCAAATAATCACACTGAAACTGTTTAGGACTAAATTCTTCTTCATCATACAGAACAACTTGGAAAAGCTTTAACTTACTTACTTGTAATGTATTTGTATCCCATACTTTCAGAGTCTTATCAAACGAACTTGATGTGAACATGCCAGTGTCATGAGGATACCACTGTACGGTCTCCACACTATATTTGTGAACATCGGGATGGCTTCTACAAAACAGCAATCAAAATTTAGAAATAACTGATTTACTTGAGTTTCAAAGTGAATACCATATTAACAAGATGTAGTTTTAGGAAGAACAATACAAACGGCCAAACCTAGATTACTTGCCATGTCCTAGCTGTCTAAAGAAAGAATATGTAGGCATCTCTAGTTTTAGGTGCCCACAGTGTGATGTGGAGGCCTGCTTCCTACTAAGGATCATAAAATGAGACTTCCTATTTCTGTATGAGAGCTTGGACGGATCAGCCAACACTGCTGGACTGCTTCATGGAAGAAACTGATTTTTCCTTACTGGAAGAGATACCTACTTTGGTTTTGGATTTGCTTTTCTGATCATTTTATCAGCATTATCATTTAGAATTGTTGCCTCATGTATCTCCATAGTGTCCCATACACTATGGCTTCTGATTAAGAACCTCACTTCTACAGCACAAGAATGTGACAGGTAGATGCCCATGGGGTTCACTACTCTTAGGTAGCCCATAGCCGATAGAAGCATGATCTGTTGAAGACTCAGTTACGACATCAGTTACAGTACACCACTGTGGTGATGATGTGCTATCTTGAAGGACACAGTTTATGCTCTGAACTAGTGATCAACACAGTAGGTGTCCTCTATTGAAACTTAACTCAAAGACACTGGATGTTTAGAAATACTTATGATGGTGGAGGGACATCTGAATACCAATTCGATACTTAATGTCATTAATTATTGTATATGTGAGACAGTGGTAGTGGTGTTATGCTTATAAAACATTTTTTATTTTTCAGAGATAAAGTTACAAATGAAATGATATCTTTCTGAGATTTGCTTCAAAATAATCTTCAGAGTAAGGTGGGTGGGTAGGGTAAAGATGAAATAAGATTGGTTATGACTGATAGCTGCTGGGCTAGTCCATGGGGTCGCAAAAGAGTCAGACATGACTGAACGACTAAAACAACAACAAATAACAGAAACAGACTCCATATATTCTCTTTCTCTTGCTCTGGGCGGCGGGGGCACAAACGTGTCTTGGGCTTAATCAATCCTGCCCAGGACTCCAAAACTCCAGCTAGCAATGCAAACCAGGGATATATTAGCAATTATTCACAGTTGTGGAGTCAAGAGTCTGTGTTGGTAATATGCAGCAGATCCCAAACTCAGTTGTTCGTGTGGTATGACATTGACTGTGTTCTCGTATCCTGGTTTCTCTTATTTTCTGCTCATTTTCTACATTTGATTCTTCTACCTTCCTGTCGTTATGTGAGATATTAAATATCTTTCCAGTAAATTTCTGCTGAAGATAAAGAGAACTGGTTTCTATTTGATCCTAAGAATCTACACAGAGATTATATCTAATTTCAAATAAATCTTTAATGTAGTGATCACAAGAAAGAATTAAGTGATGACTAAGAACAAATTAAAATCATAAAACACTTTATTAAACAGCCAAAAAAATTCAAGGTAGAAAAGTATGCTAAGTCAGGCCGCTTTAAGTAAGTAGGTAAGAGAAGAGGGGTGTGTGTGTGTATGTGTTTTGTGTGTGTTTTGTACTGGCTAGAAGCCAGTACATGACGGCTTCTAGCTATTAATCTTTTTGTTCTACTAATAATAGTTGAAAAAACTAATTTGTGTTTATGTTTAGCTGGAAAGACTTAAATGAATTACTAAGTACTCTAAAAACTCAAATTAGTTACTGAGGTGTGCCATGTTAGGTGGAGAACAAAAAGACCATAATCAAAAGTCTTAAAGTCCTTTTGAAAACTGATACCCAAGTTGTTTTGGAGAAGTTATATTTTAAAAACAGCAATGTCAAAGAGACCTGAAGACACATTTCTCCAAAGAAGACATACAGATGGCTAACAAGCACATGAAAAGATGTTCAACATCACTCATTATCAGAGAAATGCAAATCAAAACTACAATGAGGTACCACCTCACACCAGTCAGAATGGGCTTCATCATAATGTCTACAAATAAATGCTGGAGAGGGCGTGGAGAAAAGGGAACACTCTTACATTGCTGGTGGGAATATAAATTGATACAGCCACTATGGAAGATGGTATGGATACTCCTTAAAAAGCTAGGGATGACCCAGCAATCCCACTCCTAGGCATATACCCTGAGGATATCAAAACTGAAAAAGACACACGTACCCCAGTGTTCACTGCAGCACTATTTACAATAGCCAAAACATGGAAACAACCTAGATGTCCATTGAGGATGAATGGATAAAGAAGCTGTGGTACATAAATACAATGGAATACTACTCAGCCATAAAAAGGAACACATCTGAATCTGTTCTAATGAGGTGGATGAAACTACAGCCCATTATACAGAGTGAAGTAAGTCAGAAAGAGAAATATAAATATCCCATGAAAGTGAAAGTCACTCAGTCATGTCTGACTCTTTGCGACCCGATGGACTATATAGTCCATGGAATTCTCCAGGCCAGAATACTGGAGTGGTAGCCTTTCCCTTCTCCAGAGGATCTTCCCAACCCAGGGATCGAACCCAGGTGTCCCGCATTGCAGGTGGATTCTTTACCAGCTGAGCCACAAGGGAAGCCTTAAATATCATATACTGACACATTTGACACATATACATGGAATCTGAAGAGATGCACTGATGAATTTCTTTTCAGGGCAGCAATGGAGAAACAGACATAGAGAAGAGACCTACTGACAAGGTGGGAGGAGAGGAGGGAGAAGGGGAGATATATGGAGAGAGTAACACAGAAATTTACAAACAATGTAACTGATAGCCAAAGGGAATTTGCTGTATGCCTCAGAGAACTCAAACAGGGGTCTGTGACAGGCTGAAGGGTGGGGTGGGGAGAGAGATGGGAGGGAGGTCTGGGAGAGAGGGGACATGGGTGAATCTATGGCTGATTGTTGTTGATGTATGACAGAAAACCACAAAATTCTGTAAAGCAATCTTCCTTCAATTAAAAAATTTTTTTAAAAAAGCAATATTTGAATTTCAGTTATTACTTTCATGAAGATGCCAAGGGATAACTACATAAATATATCATTTGAACAATTTGCTTGAAACATTCTTATTTCATGTTTTGCATTTGATGCAAAAAATACTCAAATGTTTATAAATTCATGAATTACATTTTTAATACACACCTGCCAACGGAACACACTGCTTTACATGTGTAATAAGGTTGTCTGCTGGAGTTCTCAAGATCATAAAGCACAATCACACCATCTGAACCACCTGATAACATGCTAATAATAAAAAAGTTAATACAAATTAATTTATCATTTATACAGTTCATTTATTTGATTACATATTTCTGAAAATTACTGATCCACAACTCTTAAATTTATTATGCTCATAAATACAGAGTAAATCTTCATTAGAAGACTATAGTAAGCTAAAATCTTTAATCTAGTATTTGTGGAAAAATGATAATAGATAGATTTAATCTGTGATCAGTTAAAATTTACCTTCAAGATACCAAAATGAACAGGAGAAACAAAATGGCAAAAGATATTCCTTATTTAAGAAAGTAAGACATTACAAAGTCATTTTAAATGTTCCAATTATAATTGTGTTAAATGAAAATGAAATCAGACAGACCAGTTATTACTGATGGAATATTACAGATATTACTATCTGACCCTGGGCAAGCTACTTCATTTAAGCTTGTTCATTTACCAAAAGGGGAACATTTTCACCTGAATCATAAAGCCGAAATAAAATCGTATGCAAAAGCCTTTTACACTGCCTGGCAAAAAAAATAGGGCATCAGTAAGTGTTAGATTCCTTCCCTCCATTATGAACACATTTACTTCAACTCATTCAACTTTGAGCTTCTACAATATGCTAGGCATTATACTAATACAACTATGAACAAGACAGACATGATTCCTGACTCCCCAGCTTATAATCTAGTAGAGAAGACACACAGATCTATGAATTTAATCTATATATCTATATATGTAAATATTTATGAATCTATAGAAAGTATTGTTATTTGCGAATATTATTGCTCACCATCAATTCTGGTGCAACTCTCTATTCATTCTTGTTCTCTGATTTATTCTCTGGTAGATTCTTAAGAAAGGACTAAAGAGAACAATATTCCTTGAATTCTTGTATAGTACTAACAATTAGTCCTTTTGTACTTGAAAATCAGTCTGGTTGGATATAAAATCCTTGACTCATATTTTATTTCCTTGAACATCTTAAATAAGAAACTTCACTTCTTTGAGCATAAAGCTCAAAATCAAAGCCTGTGGTTACAATATGATTTTCTCCCCTTATATATAGTTTCTGATTTTGTTCATTCTAATGTTTTCTTTAGTCTTTATTCCATTCTCTTCCTTTGGTTTCTTCTCTGGAAACTCCTCTTATATGTATGTTGGATATTCTGTGCCTATCTTCTACATATACCTGATTCTCTTGACTCCTTTTCCTACCTCTATCTCTTTTTGATTTTTATGTTTCCTCTTGTATTTATTTGCTTATTTCTAAGGTATCACCTCTTGTACTTAACTTCTTTTCCTAATTTTTTCTAGAGTTTGATCATCTCATTTCTCAGTTTTTCTAATTATAACTTATGTTATTCTTTCATACACTGTATCTTTTAAAAATGACTTTAAGCTATTTAAAAAATATTAAGTTACAGTTCTTATCTATTTTGTGGACATACCTTTCTGGCACAAATTTATTGTTTATAGGAACATTATTTATTTTCTTTGTTATTAAAGTAATTTTGTATGAACTTTGACCTTAATCCTATTCTTTTGCTCACTTTTATATGAAATTAATTTTCTTAAACTTTTAAAAGGGTGGCTTAGTTTGCAATATTTAAAATTTATATCTCTTGAACATCTTCCTTTTTAAAATAAGATGTTCAGAATACGGCAGCTAATTTTCAGAGATTTCCTAGTTCTATTCATCTCTCCAATTTTTACTTGGCTCATCTTTTTTCTTTCTTTCTATCATTCCTGTACTTCTCACTTTGGATTCTATTCCAAACAGTTTCTCCTCAACATAGGGTTCATCCATTAGGGCATCTTTAATTGGTTAGCTAGAGAGATTATTGGGGCTAGATTACTCCCGCCCCCTTGGGTCTTACTGTGAACCTCTTGAACATCAAGAGTACACAATCCTTTCCCAGTTTCAACTGTTGTAGTCAAATTGACTTGCTGAGCTTTCAAGCAGCTGTCAGTTCCTTTAAAGTTATCAGGTCTACTAGGTGCCCCACTGGTTTTTATTACCCCGCCTGGTATAGATGCTGATACCACACAGATCTTGTAGTTATCAGTGTGTTGCTCTCATTCATCCGTATTTTGAGGTTTGCAGGGATGTCTGACCACTTATATTTGTTATAAGTAATCATTTTTAAAAAAATTTTGCCACCTTTAGTTTCTCTGCTATTATAGTACAATGTAAGGAGGTTGTGCCAGAAATGATCACACTTCTTTCTTCACTGAGAAAGTTCACTACAAAAACATTCTAGCTCATCAAAACTGTGCTTAAATACTTAATAATTTACATTCTGGTACAAGTGCTTTATCTTGTTATGAACTAGTTACAAAGGGTTCATGAAATAGCAGCATGTCCAAGAAGCACTGAGTTATAGACCTGTTTTAAGAAAAATTCAATATTGATATGTAGAACAATTAGGTTAATTTAAAAGTACTTCTTCAAAGTTCTTTGTTCAAACAGTTCTGTATCTGACTGATGATAGGGCAGTAAAGCTACCCTGAAGAGTTTTTTTCAATTTTCAACATTAGCTTCATTACAAATTTTGTGGGTTGGTTATTCTAATTGTGTATATCCAGAAATCTTTGTAAAGTTTATCAACTACAGCTTTTTTACTTTATTTTTAAAAAAATGCTGCAGCTTGCTTGGAAACAGTTGTGAGTTACATGTGTACCATTTCTAATTCCAAAAACATTTTGCTGAACATTTGAGCTTTGTAAAACACTGTGTTTTTTTCCACCACAGCACTACATGTATTCTCAATGGAAAAACAACTGTTTTCAAAGTTCAACTTTTAAACTTAATTTAAATTGTATTTATAATAAGGTCAAATGTTTCACCTTTGCTAGAGTGACTTCCAAAAGCTTTCCTTTGATTACATTAATTGGGTGAAAAAAAAAAACCCTGAACATTACTGTAATTAACTGACTTTGTAGTTGAAGTATCTAATGGCAATGATGTTACTTAACTTTAAGGTAGTTGGTAAATATGAATAAGTGCTTTGAGCAAGTTATATGTGAGTTGATTTTTGTGAGAAAGAGAAGATCTACATTTAATTTTCCATTAAACATCCATTTTGCTTTTTATTTCTCTTTGCTGCCAAAAGGGTTTAATGCAAAATACAAGTCTTAGCAAACAATGAAACAGCTGTAGATTTTCACTATGCAATAAAAGGGGAAACTACCATAGTAAGAATCTTGACTTTTCTGTATATGTTCTGCAAAGACTCCTTGGCCTGTATTTCTCACACGTATTTAATGCACATATAATCCACAACTTTCCACATTTCTCACTAACTCTCCCAACCAGTAGCCTACTGGATTCATGAGCTTTACAGGTCAAACGACTGATCACCATCCCACCAGCACCCAAGACCAAAAGAAATCAGCTATCCTTTGCTCCTTATGTCAGGATTATTTTACAAGCAAATGTCCCACAGCTGTCCTTGATTGAGAGGTAGTATGTTCAGCCTGGAAAAGGTTAGGAGAAAAAAAATGATCACATGTCATCTTTTACATTTAACCATGTGTTAAAGTTAGAATTTGTTCACTGTACATGTTTCTCATATACTAGGTGAGACCATGACAGAAGCTGGAATTAAAAAAATTGAATTCTATTAAAGTTACCCTGGCTTATTTTAATGTAAATAATAATACCTCATTATAATACAATGATTTGGGGCAAATGCTAAACAAAACATAAGACACACTTCTTTAGTTACTTTTATACTTGTCTTAATCGAAGGACAAGGGTTTTGAACATTTTGGTAAAAGTAATGTGGGGGTAGATGAGCTTTAAGTGGGTGGGAGGGGTGTGTGTGTGTGCAGTATATGCATATTTGCATTTTTCAAAGCACTTCAGCTGTTGTGTGGAAAACGGATTGAAAGTATAGGTGATAATGCTTTTGATTAACAACAATGGTGGTGATCATTTATAATATTAATCATGTTATACATATTATCATAATTAACCTTCACAACAAACTTGCTAATTAGGTATTGTTCTTACATTGTGTAGCTAAGGCAACTGTGAATTAGAAAGATTAGATAAATTGCTCAAGGTCACACAGCTATTAAATATAAAGCCAGGAGGAACTCAAATATGAGTCTGGTGTGCTTCATATACTTCTGCTTCTTATATTTGTTTTCCCACAAGACTATCTGAGAGCAACAACTGTTTTGAAATAGCTCCTAAAGACACACCTCAGCACTTACATGCTCTCTGCATCAAAACAAAAAACAAAATTCATTATTTGTTGATTTAACAATGAATATATTTATATTAAAGTACTTTGGAAATACTTATTTGGCAACATTTCATAGGTTCAATATTCTGTATTTATTTGAAAATAATGCCAGATTTAAATGTGACAAGTTAGAATTTTTATTAATTTTTATGAAATTTTACAAAATTAATCTGAAAGCAAGATTTTACTGGATCTCACTTAGGAACAAAAATGATTACATAATAAACTTACTATCTCCCTTCAACAGGTTCAATGTCAAGGGTGTTAACTCCACTGCAATGGATCCTTTCAACATCTCTGTCTTTGTTTAACTCCAGTCCCAAAACCCTAAAAATATATATATATATAAAAATTAAAAGGGAGGGCAGACAGAATCCAACAACACATCAGAAGGATCATACACTATGATCAACTGGGATTTATACCAGGGATGCAAGGATTCTTCAATATATACAAATCAATCAATGTGATATACCACATCAACAAATTAAAGAATAAAAACCATATGATCATCTCAGTAGATGCAGAAAAGGATTTTGGCAAAATTCAACACACATTTATGATAAAAACTCTCTAGAAAGTGGGAATAGAGCAAACCACCTCAACATAATAAAGGCCATATATGACAAACGTACAGCAAACATTATTCTTAATAGTAAAAAACTGAAAGCATTTTCTCTAAGATTAGGAACAAGATAAGAATGTCCATTCTCACCACTATTATTTAACATAGTTTTGGAAGTCCTAGAGATGCTAATCAGAGAAGAAAAAGAAATAAATGGAATCCAAATTGGAAAATAAGAAGTAAAACTGTCACTGTTTGCAGATGACATGATACTATACTTAGAAAATCCTAAAAATGCCACCAGAAAACTACTAGAGCTCATCAACGAATCTGGTAAAGTTGCAGGACACAAAATTAATAAACAGAAATCTCTTGCTTTCCTATACACTAACAATGAAAGATCAGAAAGAGAAATTAAGGAAGTAATCCCATTTACCATCACAACAAAAAGAATAAAAAACTTAGGAATAAACCTACCTAATGATTGCAGCCATGAAATTAAAAGACACTTACTTCTTGGAAGGAAAGTTATGACCAACCTAGATAGCATATTGAAAAGCAGGGACAGTACTTTGCCAACAAAGGTCCATCTAGTCAAGGCTATGGTTTTTCCAGTGGTCATGTATGGATGTGAGAGTTGAACTATAAAGAAAGCTGAGCGTCAAAGAATGATGCTTTTGAACTGTGGTGTGGAGAAGACTCTTGAGAGTCCCTTGGACTGCAAGGAGATCCAACCAGTCCATCCTAAAGGAAATCAGTCCTGGGTGTTCCTGGTTCCTAAGTTGAAGCTGAAACTCCAATACTTTGGCCACCTGATGCAAGCAACTCCTCCAGCTCAACTCCAGAAAAATAAATGACCCAATCAAAAAATGGGCCAAAGAACTAAACAGACATTTCTCCAAGGAAGACATACAGATGGCAAAAAAACACATGAAAAGATGCTCAACATCACTCATTATCAGAGAAATGCAAATCAAAACCACAATGAGGTACCATTACATGCCAGTCAGGATGGCTGCTATCCAAAAGTCTACAAGCAATAAATGCTGGAGAGGGTGTGGAGAAAAGGGAACCCTCTTACACTGTTGGTGGGAATGCAAATTAGTACAGCCACTATGGAAAACAGTGTGGAGATTTCTTAAAAAGCTGGAAATAGAACTGCCATATGACCCAGCAATCCCACTTCTGGGCATACACACCGAGGAAACCAGATCTGAAAGAGACACGTGCACCCCAATGTTCATCGCAGCACTGTTTATAATAGCCAGGACATGGAAGCAACCTAGATGCCCATCAGCAGACGAATGGATGAGGAAGCTGTGGTACATATACACCATGGAATATTACTCAGCCATTAAAAAGAATTCATTTGAATCAGTTCTAATGAGATGGATGAAACTGGAGCCCATTATACAGAGCGAAGTAAGCCAGAAAGATAAAGACCATTACAGTATACTAACACATATATATGGAATTTAGAAAGATGGTAACGATAACCTTATATGCAAAACAGAAAAAGAAACTCAGATGTATAGAACAGACTTGTGGACTCTGTGGGAGAAGGCGAGGGTGGGATGTTTCAAGAGAACAGCATCGAAACATGTATATTATCTAGGGTGAAACAGATCACCAGCCCAGGTTGGATGCATGAGACAAGTGCTCGGGCCTGGTGCACTGGGAAGACCCAGAGGGATCGGGTGGAGAGGGAGGTGGGAGGGGGGACCAGGATGGGGAATACATGTAAATCCATGGCTAATTCATTTCAATGTATGACAAAAACCACTGCAATGTTGTAAAGTAATTAGCCTCCAACTAATAAAAATAAATGGAAAAAAAAAAAAAAGATGGTTACCAGGAAGAACTAAAAAAAATAAAATAAAATAAAATTCATTATAATTTAAAAAAGAAAAAAAAAAAAAGAAAAGACCCTGATGCTGGGAAAGATTGAGAGCAGGAGGAGAAGGGGATGACAGAGGATGAGATAGTTGGATGGCATCACTGACTCAATGGACATGGGTTTGGGTGAACTCTGGGAGTTGGTGATGGACAGAGAGACCTGGCGTGCTGCGATTCATGGGATTGCAGAGTCAGACACAACTGAGCGACTGAACTGAACTGAACTGAAGGAGGCAAAATATCTGTACTTAGAGAATTATAAGATGCTGATGAAAGAAATCAATGACACAAACAGATGGACAAACACAGCATGTTTCTGGATTGGAAGAATCATTATTGTGAAAATGACTATACTACCCAAAGCAATCTACCAACTCATGCAATCCCCATCAAACTACCAATGGCATTTTTCACAGAATTAAAAGAAAAAAACTCTACAATTTGTATGGAGACACAAAAGACCCTGAAAAGCCAGAGCAATCTTGAGCGAGAAAAATGGAGCTGGAGGAATCAGGCTTCCTGACTTCAGACTATACCACAAAGCCATATTAATCAAGACAGTATAGTACTGGCACAGAAACAGAAATATAGAACAATGGAACAGGATAAAAAGCTCAGAGATAAACCTCATGCATGTATGGTCATCTAATCTATGACAAAGGAGGCAAGACTATAAAATGGAGAAAGGACAGTCTCTTCAATAAGCGGTGCTAGGGAAACTGGATATCTACCTGTAAAAGAATAAAATTAGAACACGCTCTAATACCATACGCAAAAATAAACTCAAAATGGATTAAAGACCTAAATGTAAGGATGGACACTATAAAACAGTTACAGGAAAATACAGGCAAAATACTTCTTTACATAAATCATAGCAAGATCTTTTCTGATCCACCTTCTAGAGTACTGAAAATAAAGCAAAACAAATGGGACCTAATTAAACTTAAAAGCTTTTGTACAGCAAATGAAACCATGAACAAAATGAAGACAACCCTCAGGATGGGAGAAAATATTTGCAAATGAAGAAACTGATAACCTTCAAACCATACAAACAGCTCATGGAGCTCAATATCAAAAAGCAAACAACTCAATAAAAAAATGGGCAGAAGGCCTAAACAGACATTTCTCCAAAAGAGACATACAGATGGCCAATAAACACATGAAAAGATGCTCAACATTGCTAATTATTAGAAAAATGCAAATCAAAACTACAATGAAGTATCATCTCATATCAGTCAGAATGGCTATCATCAAAAAAAATTACGAACAATAAATGCTGCAGAGGGTGTGAAGAAAAGGGAACCCTCTTACACGGTTGGTAGGAATGCAAACTGGTAAAACCACCAAGAAGAACAGTATGGAGCATCCTTAAAAAACTAAAAATAGACCTACCATATTACCCAGCAATCTCACTCCTGGGCACATACCCAGAGAAAACCATAGTTCAAAAAGATGCATGCACCGAATCTTCATTGCAGCACTATTTACCATAGCCATGACATGGAAGCAACCTAAATATCCATCAACACAGGAATGGATAAAGAAAATGTGTTACATATATACAATGCAATATAACTCAGCCATAGAAAGGAATGAAATGGTGTCATCTGCAGAGAAATGGATGGACCTAGAGACTGTCATACAGAGTAAAGCAAGTCAGAAAGAGAAAAATATCATATAATATCACTTGACTATGGAATCTAGAAAAATGGTACCGATGAACTTATTCATAAAGCAGAAATAAGAGACAAAGATGTAGAGAACAAAGGTACAGATACCAAGGGGGGAAGGGGCTGGTGGGATGAATCAGGAGACTGGGGTTGACACATATACACTGCTACGTATAAAACAGACAACTAATGAGAACCTACGGTAGAGAACAGGGAACTCTATTCAGTGCTCTGTGGTGACCTAAATGGGAATGTAATCTAAAAAAGAGAGGATACAAATATACACATAACTGATTCACTTTGTTGTATAGCAAAGACTAACATAATATGGTAAAGCAACTATGCTCCCCCCAAAATTAATTTAACAGAAGTGGGGGGGGGGAGATAAAACTAAACAACAGGAAAGCAATTTAACATTAAAATGTCCTTATTTCACCAAAATTACATGAAGTTAAAAATGGCTTAAATAAAATGCTTAAATGTCCTAACATACATCCAAGGATATTTATAGATTATTAAAAGCCTTATACAAAATTTTGAAGTCTTAAGACTATTAACAATTACATGTAGAGTTTCTCCTGAAGCATTATCTTATGTCTTATTTAAAGAGTGTATTTTGTTAATTTTAATTTAGATATCTAGAACCTGAAACACATTTTCATGAACAAAAAGCTAAATTCTTGTAACTTAAAACTTAACTGAGGACATCTAGTGAACAAAAGCTTAAATTACAGTTTTAAAAAATTTCCCTGAATTGTTTCCTACAGCAATATAAAATGAATATGTTCAACTCAATAAATAAGCACATTTAAATAAATAAAATTAAATATAAATAAAAGTGATTAACAAGTACTCACACAAATTAAGATGAATGAAATTTCTGATATTCAGTAACTATAAAACATCATTACCCTGGTGAGGACATTAAGATTAAATGAGTTAAAACATAAAAAGGGCTCATAACAAGGCTCAGCACACAGTAAGTGCCCAGTGAATGTTAACTATTAGAACCTGTCTCAGTCTTTTAGATGTTAAAAAGCAATTAGGTTAATGTAACTAAATGACTTCTACATTCATTATTGATCAAAATGATGCTAATTTAAATGAGATTTTTTCCCCCTTAGACTTATCATCTCATACAACAAAAAGAAAAAAATTAAAAAAATTTTCTCTTTGTGATGAGAATTACTAGGATT